AAGAGCACCCAAGCTGCTTCAAGTACAACAAGCTTGGGGTGCCCGTCATCAGGGACAGGCCATCTGGAAAGCCAGAATGAACGCTTACCTTGAGCGCCTGACGTACCATCTGATGCACGTGCCCAATTGCGTCAAGTCACCATTGAGCACTTCTTCTATGATGGATGAGGAAGGCAACTTAAAGGCTCACCTCTTCGTGACGACCGGAGGCGTGTAGGTGAGCTTGGCGGCCTTGCAGATGTGACGGCACTTCTCCGCCCCTCTGCACAGCTGACAGGCCCAGGTATCGTCCGCTTTCTTCCCACACAGGACCCACTTCTTCTCCCCTTTCAGCTGGACCGCCCAGTAATCACCAGCTGCCTTGAAACCCAATTCGGACAGCGGCTTTGTCTCATCTTGCTCCCCTTCCGGCTCGGACTGCTGCTGTTTCTTGGCTTTTACCTTTTCCGATTTTGCCTCGGGCGGCAATCTCTTCTCGCTGACAGGGGCTTCGAGCTTGGTCACGTCCACGAGCTGTTGCAGCACGCAGACATGAATGCAGGTGGCATCCGAGCAGGAGGGACACCTCAGGATCCCGGGCCCATTGGTTGTTGTTGCGCACCCCAGGATCACGGTTTTGGGGAATTGCCTCTTCTCAAGGCTTGGTTCGACGAGCTGGAATCCGTTGTCCCCCTCCTTAAAGTCGGGCAGGAAGAAGAGAAAGTCCCCTGGCAAGGCCTTGCTGGTGAAGAGGCCTCGCTCCTTGATTGTTGCTGCCAGCTGCTGATAGTTCTCTGCCCGGCGGGCACGGTCATCGACAGCCGACATGGGAGGGGAGAGGAGCAGGGGCGTAGCAAGGCAGGGGCGTTTGTCAGGCCGGGCTTTGAGGGCTGTCTCCAGTCTGCGTTTGGGTTTCTGGGGTTTCTGGGCTTTGATGTCGTTGTAGGTGGTTTTGGGGCAGCTGCTCAAGCAGTCGCGCATCTTTGGGTCGGTCCCTGACGTGCTGCAGTGCCAGCACTTCATCGGATTCTGCACCCAGGGCCCGTCAGGCTTGTGGTAAAAGGCCGCGCGGAAGGCCCCGGGGATCAGGAACTTCAGGCACTTGACGCACCACAGTCGGCGGTAGGGCATGAGCACCCCGCCGCGCCCGCGCTTCGTGTGAGGGGGGCAGGTTTGGCAGACGAAGAAGCCCACGACGGACTCCCGGGTCCCTGGGGTGGTGCCATGGAACTTCGTTCCAGAGATGGTGACGTCGCCCGTTGCAGAATTGCGGATGCACTCGACGTGACAGGCGTGGCATCTCTTGATGATGGTGGCATGGTCCTTGAGGATGTCAGCGTCAACAGGGTCGTCAGGGA